GGTGTCTGGTTTGGGGGGGGGGGGGGGGGGGGGGGGGGGGGGGGGGCGCTGATCTGTCCGTGGCAGCGTCCCTAGCCCCTACCCAGTAGGTTCCAGCAGAACTGCCTGCCCCTGGATGTGACAAGGCCCAAATGCCTCTGGACAATGCTGAATGGCCCCAGGGGGACACAGATCGCCCTCTGGCTGAGAGCTGATATTCTAAAAGGTGTCCATCAGCACAAAAGTCTGCTGGGTTCCAACTTCACAAGGTCCAGGGGCGGGAACCCCATTGCTCGAAGCCAGCGTGCTGTCTTACTTTTCAAACTGTGATCTCAGAGGAGCAGTGCACCCCACGCTAGTCCCCTGGAGACCTGATTCTGGGAACTCCTGAAGGAGGGCTGCTTGCATAGCACCTCGGAAAGGCCGAGCCGGACCAAGCGGCTGAGCTGGGGCAGCAGGAGGCGGCCCCCCTGAACCCACAGCCTTGCAGGGCTCACCCGAACTTAGCAGGACTGGAAAGATTCCCTACGGAGCCAGCTCCTGGGAAAGTCACCTCCTCCCGTGTCAATCCCCCAGAAGCTCTGTAAGTGAACTCCAAGAAAAATGTGGAAGCCAAACAAACACTTCCTCCCCCACCACCACGCCCTGCCTAGGAAAACGAACTTTCTCCCATTTCTCAGTCAAAACGCGAACCTCTTACCTTCATGCCAGGGGCACCTTGAAATCGCCACCCCAGACCACAGCCACGGCCACCCAAGGGGGCAGCGTCTGCAGCCCGAGCTCTGGGGAGTCCCTGTACCTCCAGGGACCCCTGCCGAAGTCGCAGAGTGCCCCTTTTCCCAGTCCGACCCGTAAGTACTGGGGACAAGAAGCTAGGTCCCACCAGCGCGGAGGCTGTGTGGCCTCGGACGGGTGGCTGCACCTCTCTGAGCCAGTCTCTGGGACTCCCACCCGGGAGGCGGCCAGCCTCCTCGGTCGCCCGGGGCTACTCACGGGGCCTGGGGGCGGGCGGCGTGCACGCTGTCCCTCGGCGACAGA